CAAGGTAATATTAACACACAGAACAAGCTGCTTCACAAAACAAGGACGGCCGGTGTGAGGACACACTAAAGAAAGCAGAGAAGGCAGAGAGGCAGGTGGATCTCAGTGAGTTCCAGGCCAGCCTAGTCTACATAGCCAGTTCCAAGGCTACACAGTCAGACCCTGTCTCAACAAACACAACAGAACAAAGCCATCTAATATCAAAAACAGTAGGCATGCACAACAGACTTCTCATAAAGGGGAAACTCCTTAGCAGGATTGATTTCCAGCTGTTAGAGACAGCAATATCTATTCCTGGTGGACAAATTCATTAAATTGATAAGAATTTACCACAACTCACAAGATATGTTTACATTTCTTTTCTGTTTTGTTTTGCCTGTGTTTTCAAGACAAGGTTTCTTTGTGTAGCCCTGGCTGTCCTGGAACTTGCGTTTCATGATGACCTTGAACTCAGAGATTAGCCTGTCTCTTCCTCCCAAGTGCTAGGATTAAAGATATGTGATCACCACCATTTTGTCCATTTCTTCCTCCCCCCCTACCCCCAAGACAGGGTTTCTCCGTGTAACAGGGCCCTGGCTGTCCTGGACTCACTTTCCAGACCAGGCTGTCCTCGAACTCACAGAGATTCACCTGCCTCTGCCTCCCAAGTGCTGGGATTAAAGGCGGGGCCACCCATGCCCAGCTTCTTCCATTTCCTGTAACAGGGTTTTACTTAATTACACAGCAACTCTTACATTATGCTCCAAAGCTCCAAACCACAACCTAATACAGACCTTGAGATCTACCCCTGAATAAGACCTAGATCTTTATCTCAGATAGGAAGAGACAAATGATAAGTTTTTAATCAGAAATTGATTTTAACTTCAGTACTAAAAAGAGCTAAACCCAGGTACATATTTTTACAGTAATTCTGGTATGTTACCTTAAGCAATTTGTTATTATTACCCTTTTTTTCTTGGAAACAGGGTCTCACTGCATAGCCCTAGCTAGGCAAACTTGAGGAAATCCACCTGTCTCTTCCTCCCTCTAGATTAAATCCTCTAGATTAGAGAAGGCATCATCAATCCTGGACCAGTGATAATTTAGTATGCTAGAGTCACCTGGGAAAAACTCTTAATCCAACCCGCCCTGAGAAGCAGCTGTTCGTTCAAAGGGCACGGGACACACAGCTGCAAGCAAGGATGCCATGGGTCCTGGTCCTCATTTTACTATACGACTGTTTAATTTACTTTTAAGTGACTTAAAATTCTAGTAGCAAGTCTTCCAAAGTGGCTTTTAGATGTTTGGGAATACCACTGGACAACCGGAAGATTCTCCAAGTAGCCAGTTTGCTGAAAGCCAACTTTCTGGAAGGCTGTGACATCCACCCCAATCCCATTCAGCCCCCACCAGGAAAACCAGGGAGGTAAAAACCCCTGGGAGTGGGGACACCACACCCTTCCCACTCCAGCTTATTTCCTCCACTACCCTGAGAGCGCTAAGGTCCCTGGCAACATCCGCCCTAAGCCAGCTTTACTGGCTCCAACATTTTGTTTAGACCCAACTGCCAGGAAACGTTGCCCTTCCTTAGAGGATCTGTTGGTTTTATTGCATTTTCAGTTTTGTTTTGTTTTTCCTTTTAGTCCCCACACAGCCTGTTCAACCTGTGAGACCCCACAGGACAGCATCACTTATGAGATGATCCGTCCTCCTTTAAGGGTCCATCTATCCCACTCCCAAGTCTTCCAGGGCCTCATCTAGATTCTATGTGGATCACAGGTACCGGTCCTTTTACTCTGTTTCTTTCTTTTGTTGTTAAAGACAGGCTAGGTATGGTCTGTGCATGTCTGTAATCCCAGCACTCAACTGGGAGGTGAGGCAGGAGTAGGAGGAATTCAGGATCATTCTTAGCAAGTGAATTCAAGACCCACCTCAGTTCCATGAGACCCTCAAAAAAAAAAAAGGCAGAAGCACTGTCTACAGTGACGACTGGAGCCTGGACACGTTTTCGTGTCCAACTTCTTTAAAAGTTTGTATGTTCTGCTATGTATTGGCATCTTACCAAATAAATGTTATTTTCGAAGACGTCGTCCTGGAATTTTAATGATTCAAAGTGTTTAAGATCAAAGACATCTTTAACTCATTGGTGGACTGCTTTCACCACTAAGTGAATCCTGACAAGAGCAGGACAGACAACTCAAATTCTAAAAACCAGCGAGCAAGTCCCTCTTCCAAGCTGACACCCATGACAGTCACTGAGCAACGATACAAGCGGACACTCCTCCACGAGGCAGTATTTCAGGGATGACAGCATTTCCTTCCATTTCATAAATCAACAGAGAGATGTCAAAGGATACACCTACATCAACCAAGGCAGGAACTGGCCCAGGGGGACCTAGGATTTACAACTGCTGAACTCAAAACTTCATTCCACACTCCCTCCCAAGACATTAAATGATGTTTTAAAAAACAAAATTCATGGGGCTGAAGCTAACGTTCAATGCTTAAGAGTATTGGTTGTGCTTGCAGAGAACCTGGGCTCCACCCCCAGGCTCACAAACATCTGTAACCCCAGTTACAGAGGATCCAAAGCCCTCTTCTGGCCTCCAGAGGCACTATAGGCACCTTCACAGACATACATGCAGACAAAACACCCATACACAAAAAATAATAAACAAAATTCTTGTATTTAACTAACTCATAAATTAAACAATACGGGGCGAGCAGAGGCGAGTGTAAAAATGGAATGTCAAGTTCCAGTTTTCACATGTCCATGCTTTATCCAACAGTCTGACAGCCTCAGTCAAAAACCAACACCTCCTTCAAGCACGCAGATATGGTTTCTGAGTCCAGAACAGATGATAAATACCATTGCAGGAATAACTACAATGGCAAGCGGTAACAGGTGGATGACAAAAATAAGGGCAGACAACAGTGTCCCATGGCTGAACATATCTAAGAACTTAAACTAAGACACCGCTTGAAATTCTTAGAATACTCCAAGTTTCTTCTGCGACCTCGGGCCAATCGTACCCTTCCTGAGCTCAGCATCCTAATCAGAAAAGGCTGCTGGAATCCCAGTGGGGCGCCCCACCTCACACTGCACCTCTTCTGCTGAGATCAAAAGGATTTTTATGAAAGGGTCCTGTATGACAGCCCTACATAAATGAAAGTGTTTTTTTTTTTTTTAAATGGACTTGGTGTTTAATCCCTACAGCCTTTATAACTTTCCAAAGGTTCTAAAAAGGGGGGAAAAAGGGGGAGGGAACTGGGGGGAGTTACTGTTTCCAACACTTAGAGCAATACTGATCTAGCCTGAGTTTCTGCTTCCTGGGGTTGTTGGCTCCGTTAGAACGACAAGGGGAGGAGGAAGCTATTAGGCCAGTCAGCAAAAAGAAAGGCAGCTTGGATAGCAAGAACCAGGAAAAGTCAAGTCACTGGTGGGGCTGCCAAAGTCACCAGTCCCTCATTTACAATGCAAAGGTAAAGGGACTCAGCGGGCGCCAGAGTCCCAGAGGGAATTACAATTCGGCGTGCCAAGCTCACCCGCCAACGCCCTCGGCTTCCTAAAGCTAGAGCTATAAAATTGGAAGGACCGCTATTTTCCAACGAAGTTTTCAGTTGGTGAGTAGTCCAAACAAACTTCCTGCCTCTTTGGGAAAACTTCCATACAGACAAAACATTCGAAAAGGTTAAAAACCCTAAAGATTACAGTTTTAGAACATCGCAATTTAGAAAATTAACCCCTTGCTTCAAATACTGTTTGGAACCTTCTAGACGTACAAGGCACACGGTGCGCTAGATGCAACAGCGGGAGAGAGCAACACTCTCGCTCGGGTCTGACAACAGCGCGCTTCATTACTAACAAGTAATTCCCTTCACACCGTGGACACACGTAGATCCAGGACGGTAACGGCCCTGACGATGCCAATGTATTCTACCAGAGGTGGGACAGCGCGGTGACAATCCTGACATGCTTTGGCTCCCGGGAGGTTAATGGGAATTAAACCACAGCAGCCCTCCTTTGTGGCGCTTTGGCCGGAACAGCAAAAAGGAGACAATGAGCGGTCTGTGCGCAGTTCCACGCCGATTGGCTGGTCACCCCCCTCCCCGAAACCCCTGATGTCATGGACTTGGAATGCAGGCCGGGAGGAAGGAAAGAGAGGATTTGGGGAGGGGGACGCCTCTCATCCCTTTCCCAGGCCAAAAGTCCGAGAGATAAACCCCGATGCGTTCTTGAGAGGAGACCTCGGCAGGGCTGCGTCGCCAGATTCCAATCACTTCGAGAACACAAGCCCGCCACGGCAAAAAAGAAAAAAAAAAAAAGAAAAAAAAAAAAACCCGAACAAAAGCGACCCCGCCGGGATACAGCGACAATTCAACGTGCTGCAAACTTCTCAGCATCGCGTTTCTAAGTCTCCCACCTAGAGCCGATCCGACCCCCAGGCTGCGCGTTCAGGCTTTGTCTGCGTTTCCCGCAGCAGCGGCGATTGCATCAAGCCACCACCGACGGGCTCCCTTTTCCGCCCGCGGGTCCCAGGGGTCGGCGGGACACTCCGCGTCCCCTCCCACGGAGGAGGAGAGGAACAATGAGGGGCCCGGTTTGGCTACGTAACCGCCCAAACTTCTGCTTGTGGGAGGAGGGGGCCGGGATGGGGGGAGACGCGGGGTCCCACGGCAGCCCGGGTCCTCGGCGGATGGCGGGGGCGGCAACTCCCGGAGTCCCAGGCGCGAGGCGGGGCCCCGCCTAAGGGCCACAGACCCACTCAGGAGCGCCCCCTGCCCGGAGGGAGCCGGCCTGGGAGCCGGCCCGGCGACGCTGCGGGACTCCGGGCGTCCGGGAACCCACCGCCCGCGGGAACAAAGCCGGGGCCGGCGCGTGCGGGAGCGCTCCGCCGGCCGGCCGGGGAGCGCGCATCTCTCCGGCAGCCTCGACGTCCCTCCGCCGCCGCCTCGCAGCCCTTCCCCTCCCCCGCCGCAGGACCTCCCACCCACCCCCATCAGCCCGTCCGCGCGCATACCTTGTTCTTGACCTCGGCGGAGAGCCCGTAGGAAGGGCCCTTGTTGAAGTGGGTCATGGCTGTTCGGACGATGGGAAGGGGCTGCGCTCGGGCGCGGGGGATCGGTCGCCCTCGGGGTCCCTGCTCCTAGCCCCAGCGGCGGCCGCGCGGGAGATGCACGGGGCTCGCTCCTCGGCGCGGCGCGAGAGGAGCAGAAGACGCGGTGGATGGACGCGGTGGATGCCTCGACGTCTGGTGAGACTCGAGTGCCGCGGAGGCTCGGGGGCGCTCTGGAGTGGAGGCGGCTGCCTCGCTAGCTGCCCGCTCCGCGGCTCGGCGTGCTCTGCCCCCAGCCCGGTCCCCTCCCCAACCTCCAGGCCTCCAGGGATTGGCCGGTGAGCCCGACCAATGGCGCGCCGCCTCCTCCCCACCGCCTGCTCCGGGTGTCCCCGGCCAATGGCAGCGCGGCGGGCGCGGCACTCCCTTCCCCGGATCCCAGCCCCCTCGGCCCCGCCCTCACGCCACCGAGGACCTCTGTGCCCCTCCTCCCGGCTAGTCCGCGGGCTGCGGCTGCCCCGCCCCGGCGCCTTGGGGGCTTCCCAGCCGCTGCGGTTCTCATCAGCTCCCAGGCATCCCTGGCGCTCCGACGGTGGAGGAGACAGGAAGCTCCCGGAGCTGGCCCGCCGCTCACCGGCCACTCCATCCGCCCCTTCCCTGGCCACAGCGCGCCCAGATGCTGCGCTGGAAACCCCGGGAGCAGCCTCTTGAGCCCACGTGCCAGGCACAGGGAGGCCTGTGTCTACACCTGCCGGGTCCTCTCCCCACGCAGCTGCCGCACCTGTGGGCCTGATCTCTGCCTTGGTCAAGTTTCTTTGCCAAATTCCTGCTCACTGTCTAAACTTTAAAATGCAGTGCAAAAGAAACTGGGAAAGTGTGGCAAACCCCGGGGCTTTTCGGGTCCCTTTCTGGATTCGCACCAGTTGCCTTCTGCAAACATTTTCACCGGGAGTTCAGCCAGCCCAGAAGTCTATCCAGGTGGTTGTTGCTCTGCCTAGTTTTTGCTTGTTCGTTTACTTTTAATTAAAGGGCCGCCTTGAATCCTCATTCAAAGCCTGCCTGCCTTTTTTGTTTGATTTATAATCAGGGGTCTCTTGAATGAGCGTTCCATATTCTTTTCCATCCCCTTCCTTTCTTCTAATCTTAAAGGCAAACTGTGATAGAGGAAGGTGAGAATAGAACAGTGTCTTTACCTGTGCTCCTGCGACTATACTGGACTGTATGTCTTGCAAAGGCTAGCCTATTTACGTACCCCAAAGTACTAGGTAGATTTCGTATCTGTTTTCCTGGCTTGAAGGCTGCAACTTGGAGATTCCTAGTATGACCACGAACACACCTCCAGAGCGTCACCTCTTGCCTTGGTGTTGCGGGGCACACTTGGGACAGGTTGTAGTCCTCTGAGTCCTAATATGAGTTTTATTTCCCCAAATGCAAGCTGACATTCCAGGAGAGACCACAGAACCGGGGGCGGCTGCCTGCATGAAAAGAGGAGCCCAAATTGAACCTTTCTGGGATAGAAATGAAGTGTAGCACAGTGTCCCAAGCTTTCGATCCCAGCCCACATGTTTGAATTGGAGGCCAGCCTGAGCTACAGAGAAAAAAAAAAAAAAAAAAAAAGCACACAGTTTCTATTAGCTGAAAGATTTTTTTTTTCTGAGACAGGGTTTCTCTGTGTAGCCCTGGCTTATCCTGTAGAAAAGGCTGGCCTCATACTCACAGAGATCCGCCTGCCTCTGCCTCCGAAGCGCTGGGATCAAAGGCATGCGCCACCACTGTCGGGCTGAATTTGTTATCTACTCCGTAAGGCACACTGTGATGGGACAGGGACGAATGGAATGGGCAGGAACATGAAATGACTTCTCATGAGTTCCTGGTTGATTCTGCAGGTACTCAAAATAATTAGGGCATTCTTTCCACAGAAAGATGACGAAACTGATGGAACCAGCAGTTGGGGCTGTTTTTCCAGTCTGGTGATAGTGGCCCTGGGTCATCCACAAGACCAAACACACTTTTTAGAACCAATACTTGATCCAGATACGGAGTAGAAATTACAGCTGTGAGCCTCAGCTCTCCTGTAGAACCCCAAGCCTCAGGGCCTCTGTTTGGCCACAGTGGGTAAAAACATTGAGGTCAATGCCACTTTAATCTCTTAAATCATACTTGGTAGAACGCTTGGGAGTTTTATTCAGTTTCGTCGGCAAAGGCGTGGCTTCTAGTGTTTAACAAGTTACTGTTAAGGATTACAGAGGTGAAATGATACCCCCGATGGACAGTAGGAGCAGTCACAACTATGGGGACCTACCTGATGCTCCTGTCCCCTTGTGTGGCTTCAAAATGAACGTTAACATTTGCTACGTTCCTTTAGTCAACTATTATACTCTCTGAAGTACATGATGTCCTCGGCACTGCCACCCAATACTAAGGTACTGTTGATCTGAATGGGTCCCTCTTCTCATACAGCTCACTGCCAGGAATAAGTAATGCTGTGTTTAAGAACTCTGTCTGTGGAGGCAGGTATGGCAAAGCGCTCCTTCAGTCCCAGTGCTCAGGAGGTAGAGGCAGGTGGATCTCTGTGAGTTCAAGACCACCCAGGGCTACACAGTGGGGCCCTGCTTCCTAAAGAAGGAAAGAGAGGAGGAGGAGGAGTGCAAAACACATCTAGAATTGGGAATAACTGAGCCAGAGAGATAGCTCAGTGAGTAAATGTGCCTGCTGCATACCCCGATGGCCTGAGTTTGATTTCCAGGGGACCCACATGGAGGAAGAAGAGAGCCAACTCTATCAAGTTATCCTCTGACCTCCTTTTGAAAGATGTGGCACACGTACACATACACATACAAAGCAAGTAAAATGAGATTTGAAAAAAAATGAAAATTGAGAGTAATTGTGTTATTGAGACACAGCTTATAAGCCATGAACAGCAGATAAAATGCAGTGTCACACACACACACACACACACACCCCTTCTCCATAAAACATATCACAACCAGAGAATGGCTATAGCCATCACCCACAGGGCTTCTTTAACTTAACAAAATTAACTTGATGAGGAGCAAGATGGCTCAGTAAGTAAAGCTCTTGCCAATCAAGCCTTACAGCCTGAATTCAATCCCTGGACAACCCATGTAAACATAGAAGGAACTCCACAAAGCTGTCCTCTGACCTCCATAGGCATGCTGTGTCAAGTGCATGCACACACTCATACATAAGTCTCGTACATACTCTAAGAAGAATAAAAGGGGGCTGGAGAGATGGCTCAGAAGTTAAGAGCACTGCTTGCTCTTCCAAAGGTCCTGAGTTCAATTCCCAGCAACCACATGGTGGCTCACAACTGTCTATAATGAGATCTGGTTCCTAATTCTGGCCTGCAGGCAGAACACCATATACATAATAAGTACATAAATCTTAAAATAGATAAATAAATAAACAGAACGTTAAATCTTGAGGTTCACTCACAAGTAGGGCATACCATTAGCACGTTCCTTTTTATAATTCAATAGTTTAGCACAGGGATAGGCAACTGTGTGTTGATCAGCCCACACCTAGCAACAACATAGCTCAGCAACACAGTGCATTATAGCTCATCTTCAGTTGTTCTCTGGCTTGCTCTCTATCCCATTTCCTTTTTATTTTTGACAGGGTCTTACCCTGTCACTTAAACTAGCCTAGAACTCACGCTAGTCCAGGCTGGCTTCCAACTTGCAGCAATCCTCCTGTGTCCTCTCAGGTGCTGGGATTACAGGTGTGAGATACCACACCTGAGTGATTGTTTACCCTCTTGACCAACTGATTGACTGGAGCTGTGATTCCCCGCTGCTGCTCTAAGGAGAAAGCCTTAGAGCACCTGGGAAAAGGTAAGACTTTGTACTTCGGCTGGACATGATGGTGTGCCTATTTCATCCCAGCACTGGGGAGGCAGAGGCGGGCAGATAGATCTCTGTGAATTGAAGGCCAGATGGTTCACATGGCAAGTTCTAGGCAGTTAGAGCTATGTAGAGACACTCTGTCTCTCTGTCTCTGTCTATATATGTATATGTGTGTGTATATATATATATATATATATATATATACACGTGTGTGTGTGTGGGCACATATGTAATTATATATATATATATATATATACATATATATATAATTTGAATTTAAAGTTCAGTTTCTACTAGATACATGTCGCTTTTACAGATCTGTAAGTTGAGAAATCATAAAGCAGCCTCACTCAGGGACCACCTGAAAAAGCTGCTGCAATCATTCATGAACATGCCAGTAACATAAACATGCTTTCACTTCTCTTAGATCCATACCTCCAAGTACAGTGGCTGGCGGGTAAAAGGTATGTGTTTAACTTTTTAAGAAACAGCTGAGTGAGTGAGATGGCTCAGAGAGTAGAGACAGTTGCTTCCAGGCCTGATGACCTGTGTATGACCCCTGGAATCCACAATGTGGGAGAAGAGAACCACCTCCCAAAACTTGTCCCTTGACCTCCACATGCAAGCATGGCGCGCGCGCGCACACACACACGCACACGCACACGCACACACACAAATGTAATTTAAAAGTTTTTTTTTTTTTTTTTTTCTTGGCTGGGTACAGTGATGTACCCAGGGAGGCAGAGGCAGGCAGATCTCTGTGAGTTTGAGGCCAGCCTGGTCTACAAAGCGAGTCCAGAACAGCCAAAGCTACACAGAGAAACCCTATCTCAAAAAACAAAACGTTTATTTTAAAGAAACAACATATCTTTTCCTAAAATGATTGTGATATTTTATGTTCCCACCAGCAAACATGAGTCTTAGCTCATTTATGCCTTTGCCAGCACTCAGTATGTTCCTATGGAATGGTAGCTCCTTGTTTTAATTTCAGGTTTTCTAATAAGTACATTGGGCATCTTCTCATGTACTAGTGTACATTATATATATATATAAATATATTATAAAATATAATATGTTATATTATATTTTATATAATATAACATATAATATGTTATATTATATTTTATAAATATAATTATAAATTATAAAATATATCAGCCACCCCGGCTGATCTACAGCTCAACATGACGGTGGTTCTCAACCTGTGGGCCAAGCCCCCTTTGGAAGTCACATCTCAGATCTCCTTCATCTCAGGTAGCTACATTACAGTTTATACCAGTAGCAATGAAGTCATCTTACGGTTGGGCTCACCACAACGTGACCTGTATTAAAGGGCTGCAGCATTACGGAGGTTGAGAACCATTGCAGTATGTCAAGCAGGCTGGCTTTGAATTCATGGAAATCTGCCTGCTTCT